CCCAGGAGCCGGGTCCCCGCTCCGCCGGTGCCCGGGCTGCCGGTGAACGGGGCTAATGTGTTGCGCTCCCGTTGCCCGCTCCGCGCTGCCGCCAGCCCGCGCCGGGAGACGGGGACGCGGGGCCGCGCTCAAATATTTTTTTCCCCCTTTTCCGCTTGTCTCTGCAGGTAAAGTGGAGCTGCACGGGAAACTCATAGAAGTTGAACATTCAGTCCCTAAAAGACAAAGGTAATTTATTTCTATTTTTTTCCCCTCTGCCCCCACCTTGCTCCTGGTTACCCGGTGGGAATCAATTTGGAAAAAACGCTTAGGTTCGTGCTTCTCTTCCCTGTAGACAAACGGACTGCTTGCTTAAACCCACAGGCGTGCACCCTGTGCTGTTCTAGAGGTTTTCTCGTGTATTTCTAGCGTGTAGTGTCTTGACCAGGCAACAGTGGTAGTATCTTTTTTTTTTTTTATTTAAAAAAAAGCCTTTTTTTGTGGGAAAAGCAAGTTACTACGGTCCGATGGCAAATGGTTGTGAAGATTTTAAAATTTAAAGTTCCACGAGAGGAGTTAAAACCCGGGTGTTAGCAGGAAATGAACTGTGATGTTGTGAACTGTGTAACGGGCAAGCGTGTGAGCTGTGCTCCAGCAACAAAAAGCATCTTGTAAATATACTGGTATACATCGTTTTTTGATCCTGCCATGTTGGAGTCTGCAGCATTTTATAGGCATGTAGCAGAAGTCTCATCTGTATTTCGGAGGATTTTTTCATCACTGTTTCGAGCTGGTCTGTAGGAGCAGCAGGAGAATGACTACTTCCCATCAAGGACAGGATTTATGCATCCTTAATTTCTAAACCTATGTTTAATTTTTGCAAGGTAGTAATTTTGTTGGGCCTCGTGTAAAGAAGCAATACTTGCAGTAAAGGAGGGTTGTATTTTTATACTGCCTGTAGCAATTCAGCCTGCTCCTTTCACAAATATTTAGATTATAGAAAACCTGGCGTGCACTAGAGAGTAAAAGTGAAATAGATCAAACTTTCCACGTGCTTGTTGCTGTACTCCATTATTCAATCTGGGAAGTATGTCTGTCTGTATAACTTTGGTAAAAGGGGCTTCTACTATTTCAGGGCTGTTTTTGAAAGTGCAGTCTTGTTAAAACGGTTGATTTGAAAAGGTGAATTAGCTTTCTTGATGGGCATTGTATCTTGGTATTTTGAGAATTAGAAGTTTAATTACTCTTTGGTGTTAGAGGAAAGCTTCACTTGAGAAAGTATGGAGGATTTTTACTCTAGTTAAGGGAAGGGGGGAATCCCTCCCTGGACAAATACATAGCATGCTAGTCTTTATGGTTATATTTATTTGATACTTTTCATTGGAAATAAATATGTTGTATGTATTCTTTCCCATTTATTATGCAAGGTATATGGCTTTGATTTACTGCAGCCTATATTTCAGATCTTTTGTGTATATAGAAATATTGTTGCAGATGGAATACATTTTTAGATTTAAGGAGAAAATTCCATAGGACATGAGAATTGATCATCTATCAGTCTCTGAAATAAATTTATTATCATGATTATTAGTCTTAAGCTTGCACAAGTAGCATTCTATTTATGCTGTTGAAAACAAATGAATTTTGCTCACATGAAGGTGAATTTAAAATCACAGGTGGCCCCATCAGCTTTTTTTTTTTTAAATCATTGCTCAATGTGTGTGAAAGTATTCTCCTGTTCTCTCAGCTGTCAGCTGAACTGGTGTAAAAGTCCATTGTCCATGTTGGGTAGCACGTTTTCATATATGACTGTGAATTAGCAATTATCAGAAACAGATATCTGTCTGTAACTTGTGGAAAAGAATTCTGCACTGAATTTAACCACTTTTCTAGGCACGTGTTGCCTATGTATAGGCATAATATTGACAAAATTGAGAAAGTAATTGTATCACCTTACATGTATTGTTTCTCCCAAAGTGCTTATTTGTTAAAACACTGTCTGATCATGCAGTATCACACTGGAATGTATCAGTTATAGTTCAGATTTATACTGCTGTTTAACAGAAAATTAAATTGCATTTCTCATAGTTGCACTTCCTTCTCCTTTGTTTCCGCTCACACACTTCCAAAATCAAATATAGAAAGTCACTTAAAATTCATTCAGTGGCCTCCATACGTAAAAGTGACTCTTTTGCTCCTTTTATAGAGGTTTAATACCATTCTTTTTTTTTGGGCAGGGGTCAAAGAGTTGGAGACTTTTTCCATGTCTCTAAACATTGCTTACTGGGTGTGTTTTTAGAGTTGCTAGAGACGTGTGAAAACACAGTTTTGAAATGTTGAATGTTTTGGTGAACCTGGTTATTCAGGTGCTTTCAAAGCAACTTATCTGAAGTCTTTGTATCTCTTCGCACCAGGGAGAGGTGGGGGCCGTGGCGGTGCGGGGCTAGCCAGGCCCACCCAACGTGTCCGTGGG